TCATTTAATCTTTATAACAATGCTGTGGGGTAGGCAATGTTGTTATCTCCAGTTTACATGTATGTAAACTAAGGCATAGATTGGTTATATAATTTACCCATAGTCACACAACTAGTGTGACTGAATTAGTTGTTAGGGGCTGAACCATGGTTTAAATGCTAGAAATCCGGCTCTAGGATCTATGGTCTATTATCTGTTATCTCAGAGAATTTATAGAAATCCCCTTGATAAAGGGATTATTATTCTCGTTTTACAAACAAAGAAAGGCTAAGTAAAGAAAGCTTAAGTGGCTTACCCAATATCGTGTATCTCTTGAATGGCAAAACATAGGATTCATCTCTGGTCTTATGGTATTGAAGGCCTTGTTCTTTCTATTAAATAGTTCGTAGATAAACACGGTAGGATGGAAAGTCAGCTTTTTAGAAGCTTTTATGGTTTATTCATTTCAATGCATATCTTGTGTGTTCAGGTATTTGGGGCATGAAGGAATGAATGAATCTACAGTAATTAAAATTCTCTAATATTTGCCTAATGCTTTAGTCAAATACAGTCATCTCTTGCTATCTGTGTGAGATTGGTGTCAGGATCCCCACAGATACCAAAATCCGCAGATGCTCAAATTCTTTATATAAAATGGCATAGTATTTGCATTGACCTTACACACATCCTTCCCTATACTTTAAATCATCTCAAGATTAGTTATAATACATAATACAATGTAAATTCTATGTAAATAGTTGTTATGCTGTGTTGAGTTTTGAAATTTGTACTATTTTTAATTGTAGTATTTTTTTCAAATACTTTGATCTTAAATTGGTTTATTCCATGGATGTGGAATTCACAGATATGGAGGAGTGACTATGTAAAGACCCGTGTTTTGTAATTTTTTTAATTGTTGAAAACTTCAGTTTAGAGAAAAAATGTTTTATGTCTTAGTAATTTTCTGTGGGCACTGTGTTAAGGTAATAGTTTACTGTCTTGAGGGAAAAAATATAAATAATAAATTTTCTAGGCTATTTTGTCCTAGGGAAGGTTATAACCTTGGAAGTCAAAGAAAAATTTTAAGATGTCCGTGGCGCAAGAGTTAATAATAAAAGATGTATAAGATGGTGGGCAAATAATTTCTCCCTCCACAGCTTTTAGAGGTGGTAGTTCCTTGGTACATCTATGTAAGGTCATAGAGGACATCTGGTAGTTCCTGTTGTTTTTAAGTTAAAAAGAAGTTTAACAGTTCTCCCTTAGAAAAAAAGTCTTTCTTCTTCTATGTACGCATCTCTCTCAGTATAAACAGAGGAAAATTATTTAAATTTCTCCAGTAGAAATAAGTTATTTGCTCTAGAATGTTAGAGTTCAACAGGATATCAGAGATTTTTGTAGTTCAACCTCCTTGTTATATAGTTAATGAAACTGAAGTTAAATAACTTCTGGTAAGGGTGGAGATGGACTAGAATTCATATTTCCTGATTTTTATACCTTTGGTGTTTCTACTACCCTACAAATATACACATGGCCTTAAAAATATCTAGAGAAGTTTTGTTTATTTTTGAACACACATGTGAAATCAAGTGAAAATAAATATGCATGTTTTTAAGTAAGTTGAATGACAAAAGTAAGGTAAGAATTTGGATGGCTTTATTTTTTAAACAGTGATGGCCTTAGTATTTAATAACCATGACAATATGCACAAATATGTTTTTAAAGCTTAATTTACAAATTAAAAAAGACATCTAGAAAGTTCAAAAATTAAAAAATACCAATTTATTTGAAACACTTTATTTCCTTTTTCCTTAATCTAGGATCCAAAAAGAAACCCCTTCACTTGATTAGCTCTTCTGATAAACCTGGATTAGATCTTTTAAAAGTGGAGTATATTAAGGTAAGGGCCATAGAATGATTATATATTTATTGCATATTCCAAATTATACCCTTGGAAGGAAAAAGATAATAGTACATTACTAATAGCTTTGGATGTGTATCACAGTTTTTAATTATAGAAATGTCTACTGTTTCTTTTTTCATCTATACACCTTCTTTTACTTAATTTCTCTTAGTTTCAGGGCTATTACAAAAGTACTAACCTTCTTGTCTCTAGAGCCTGGGGACAAAGTAGGTGCTATTTCTATCTTCTAGGGCATACCTCCACTCATTAGAGGTCATATATAGGTGACATTTGGCTGAGTATCCTGCATCAAAAAGGATTAAGTCAAATTAGATTGGGTTCAGAACAGAACCGCTAGAATTGGGAAGGGACTCAAAAATATATGAGAAACACTGAAGGAACATACGGTATTTAGCTTCATTGAAGATTTGTTGATTTGTTTAATCATTTAACAACTATTGATTGAGTATCTGTATGTGTTATTGAATGTCTTTACTGTTAGGCCCTTGGGATATAGAGATGAAAAACATTCCCTGTTCTCAAGGAAATTACAGATAGACAAGTATACAACACTTAAAATATTAATATAATGTGATCGATTTTCTGACAAAGAAAAGCTCAAAGCATTATGGGAGTAGAGAAGCAGGGAAACTGGCCAGGCCAGAAAGCTTCTCACAGGAGGTTAATCTTTGAGTTTGAATTTACTACATTTATTCCCAAGGGACAGAACTTGGACCAATGGGTAGTTATGCTGGGAGATAAGATTTTTGACTCAGTAGAAAGACCTCACTAAGTCAAAGCTCTGTAAAATTGGATTTGTAAGGAAACAAGATTTCTTTAAAAAATAGACTTGCTAAAGACTTTATAGAAGGATTTAAGCATTAGGTGATGGACGGACTAGATGACCCTTACACCTTTCAGCCTTCAGAGTTTATTATTCTGATCCTAGCTGCAGTTTCCCAGAAGTGAATGTTCTCCCGTGTTTGAAGAGGGTGACACATTTATAAAATACATTTATAACTAAATATAAATAAATTAACCAGGGATCATAAATAAGTGATTTATTTACTTTGATCTTAATTCATTCTTTAGAACTCGTGTTTGTTTTTTTAGGCTGATAAGAATGGACCTAGTTTTCAAACTACTTTTGGAAAAACTGAACAAACAGTGAAGGTAAGAAATTCTGTTAAAAGGAATATATTCTATTTGCAAATAACCTCCTCTGGAAGTCTCAATCCTTTGAGGGTAATTTGATGACATAATCAAGGACCAGTAAAGGTTATATGTAACCTTACGCTTACCATGCTCTGTGTTTATGATTCACCTTGCTAAAGCTGCTGTTTCGGCTTACTGTATCACATCCTGATATCTTTACAAATTTCAGTATTATCTCTAAATAAGGGAGTACTATAGACAAAAGGACTTTGATTTATAAAGAGCTAACAGGATTCTAAACAAACCAAATTAGATTAAACCATTGTTTAATGCAGGGGCAAAAAAGTGAATCTAACTGAGTCAAGGAGAGATGTTGAGTACTTTTGAAGTTACATTACTTAGGTAGTAGCTTAGAGGAAGAAGAGGCAAAATGTGCTTGTGAGTTACATTAAAAGGAAAATGAGAGAGATGAGTTCTAGGTCATACTTTTGAGAGATAGGAGAATCTGTTTGAATATTGTGAACCTTCCTTTTTATAGTTTTTATATCCATTTAGTGATTTGATGAAATGAAAATAAATTCTTTTCAATAAATAGATTTTTATTTTAATTTGCTATTAGAAAATCACCCATTCTTGAAAACAGTATGTTGTTCTTTTAGCTTTCTAGAGTCTTTGTTTTAAAAAATGTAGTACTTTCCCCCTAAGTTATATATCCTATGTTTCTTTTTAAATGATTTGACAATTACTGTAGTTTTAGATCATTTAGTAACTGAGAACTCACTCATATTGTCCTTTTTATATTTAAATCTCATCAGATACCACATTTGAAATAATTTCTAGAAATAATAGTAGCCCATGGTAGTTCTAGAGTTTTGTCTTTGACTTGTGCATCTTAGATAATCATAATAGTCCATTGGAGATCCAGAAACCATATATGTATGTTGAATGTTAGGATGGCCATGAGAAGCAGATTACAGACTCCATGAGCACTTGGGAAAGGGGGTAATTAGGTTATTATGATACCCTAATGTAACCCTGAAGTGTGTAAGTGTAATTTACTCTGTATATTCCTTAAGGGGGTTGTGCATCTTCCTCTCTTTTCTCATCCTTCCCAGCAGTGGAAAGCAGTGATGCAAGCCCAGCTGTGGGAGCCTTTTGGGTCCATTGTGGAGACAGGTTATAATTGGCTGAGGAAACCTAATTTTCTCTTTAAAACATTTTTAGGTGGCCTTTTCATCTTTAAATCTGTTGCTACAAGCACAAGCTCTTCTCTCTTCTATTAATTACCTGACAACCATTATTCCGTCGGATAATCAAGACATAGGTGTTGCCAAGGAGGTACAAATTCCACCTGAAAAACAACAAAAAAATTCAACTCTACAGAAAGGTATGAAAACACATTTTAATTTCTTGTTGGAAAGGGTTTTAGAATTCTAGAGCTAAGTGAGGAATATTAGAGATCATCTAATTCAGTCATTTAAATGCCATCCCCCCCGCCCTTGCTTCTATCCCTTTCTTCAAATTAAATTGTATGCAGGTGCCTGGTATATAAGGCAAATCTAATCAATATTACTGTTTTAAAAAATGTTTGTATTTGTTCTTATTTTGGTGGTAAG